ATTCTAAAATAAATTGACTGATAGATAAATTCTAGTTTGTCTAATGTAACTGCACACAAATGTTACGTAAAAAAATTACCTAGTAAGTTAGTATCAAAAAATCTTAAAATTACTTGTCAAAATATACAATAAAGACAAAAAATAAAATTTTTTCACTATACCCAAAGAGGTTTGAAAAAGAGATAAATGCAAACGAATTTTGTAATGTTAACAACACAATCAGTTATTATAGATTGTCAGTTAGCATAATGCAGAAACGTCTACTGAATTTAATTATTACAAATAAAATTAAGCACCGAAAACAAAAAACAAGACATATCTACAATTATGAAATAAGAAATAGAAAAACAAAGAGCAACATCATTCCTACAACAGTGACTACAAGCTAAATACATTGTGTTGTTATGCAAATATCGTCTGCAAAACATAATTCAACTCGTGATACAAATGATGGTCCCTTCACGTTGGGACCAACAAAATAAAGAGAAGCTGCCAAATGCAGGCACAAGATCCGTATGCTAATTATATCACCAGAAACCCACGCAGCCTATATCAAATCAAAAGAAAACAAATTTTGCACCATTTATAACGTGTAATGTTTCAATATGTGCTGGATATCTGTCAGACACTAGCATGATTCTTCTAAGATTGGAAACCAATGCGATACACCTGCATTGTAATGCCCTCAACTAACGCAATGCAAAAGGTTTCTCCATAGTGAGTTTGCACAATTGCAGCGACGACTTACACAGGTGCTGCTCCGAATGCATTAGACACGCTTGGAAACAGATTGCTTAAACTGAGTACCACGATGCGTCGCTACATACTCCAATGAGTCAGGACTGGCGATTAGGCATTCTAGAACGCTAACAATGCCAACCCAAATCGCCCTATGCACGCAAAATTACCACACGACTTTGAGCGCGTCAGCCAAGATGCGTCAAAAGATAGACAGTCACGATGAGGTAAAAGGAGAGGACACTACAGGTTAATGCACACTCAAATGGCGTAGAGGAGGGTTTGTTGTGCTGTTGTGCCTCCGACTACTTCCAAATCATGTTTCTTAGTTCTAACTTCGGAATAAGGCAACTCATACTTTCTTGTTCGAAATTTCTGTAGTTAACTGGATAAAAACAATATCTGAACTTATACAGAGGGTGCCATTTTCCACCCCAAGTTTACACTTTCGCTGGTTTCATTGTTAATCCATCAATTTTTTTGCTCTGTTCATGTGAAAATTTTCAAAAAAAACTGTTTTTTTTGCTTCGGATTTAAATTTTTACTGGGAGTTTAACTGTTCGTATAATGTTATTAATCTGAGTTGCAGTTTACAGTTTTATGTTTTCGAACCATTGAGAATTGAATGGTGTTGGAAATTAATTTAAACAAAACTCTGCTAACAATATCTGACGCCGATGACAATTTAAACACAAAATTTGGTATCACTTTGATTTAAATTTGATTCCAAATAAGGGCACGACTTTGTTTGCCCTGTTGGTTTTCTTGGATACTTGATGCTATTACTTCACAAAGTGCGAAGTTAGCGCACCGCGTCGCACTATTATGAGTATAATCCAACGGTCCTCAGTTCAGAGTGGTCCAATTTTCTTAAAAGCCATAGTAAGTCTCTAATTTTGGATCGTTTAATGTTTTTGTCTGTGTAATGTTGGTTTCCTTTTTAAAAATTGGTTCCTATCTGAAAACCTATCAATATGTTACATTTAAAATATTTCATTATTTAAAATTTTCTACAAAACCCTTCTTCGGATCAATTTGATCTTTAATCCCCTAGAGTGAAGCGCATTTATTCATTTGCAATCTTATTTCTCTCATTTGGCTTTCGGTTTTTTCGTTTAACGTGTTTTTTTATACGTTAAGCCCTGTATGATTACACTTTTCGTCCTTTATTCATTATTGTCCTGTATTTGTCTAACTCCTTTACTTGATACTACATATTAGATCAATGCATCGTAAAGGGTGGTGGTTATTATGGTTCTGATTTCTGTAATATTTTTTATAAAAACTTGCACTAAACAATACGGGAATTTCGGAGTGCGATTTCCTTCTTTTTTCTCTGTCTGATTCGTTAACCTAAGGTCACAATCGAATTTACTGGCAGTGAATTACCTTTGGTATCAGTATTCGCTGTCATTCAGTCTTCATTAATTAATCAATATTTGCCAAAACATTCGTATCTGTAATGTTTTGAGCTTATTAGTTATTGGATAAGGCCACGGCCGGAGTCTCCGAATCTTCACCTACGTTATTTGACCTTAATAAAACTGCTAGGTTAAAAGTGTCGAAAAATTTAGGAACCGTGTTCTTTTGAGTTGATCTAAAGAATAACTCTCACAGTAGTCCTTACGATTTCCATCAAGTGATGCCGAAATCTGTGCATCGGACACCTCTGTGCCGTACATTGATTTATCCACGTCTAATGTCACATCGTATTATGACCAACATCTTTGTCCAAGTCTTCCGAGGACGATAACTATATGCCATGCACGTTCCAGACTTTGTTCATGGTGCCTTAATCCGTCTGTATTGCTTCATATCACTTGTCATCACCGTTACACCACCCAATCTGCGTATTTGGAGGTTCATATTGACCAAGTCAAGTTCGAATTCAGCCATGTTTGAGATGGCGTTGATGAATTCGCCAATTTTCTTTTACTAATTTTAAAGTCGACATTCTGATAGAATTAGTTAATCAAGAGTAGCAACAGTGTCGGTGGGTGAAGTCATGTCGATCCGATGCCACACAAACGCGATGACAATTCCGTATTCCCCTGCTACATAAAAGTGAGTTCCACGTTCTCTCAGTTGGCGGTGACGCGCTAGCCTGCACAACCAGTTACGTTTGTGATTTTTTGGCACACGATCTTTTAAAAAGCTAGACGACGTGGATTCAGGTCGGAGTTTGTCAGGAAAGTAGGTGAGTTTGTGCAGAAGCTAATCGTCGGGTGCATGGTGTGGAAGCAGTCGAAGGCACAACAGCACAACAAACCCCCCCCCCCGCCATTTGAGTGTGCATCAACCTGTAGTGTCCTCTCCTTTTACCTCATCGTGACTGTCTATCTTTTGACGCATCTTGGCTGACGCGCTCAAAGTCGTGTGGTAATTTTGCGTGCATAGGGCGATTTGGGTTGGCATTGTTAGCGTTCTAGAATGCCTAATCGCCAGTCCTGACTCATTGGAGTATGTAGCGACGCATCGTGGTACTCAGTTTAAGCAATCTGTTTCCAAGCGTGTCTAATGCATTCGGAGCAGCACCTGTGTAAGTCGTCGCTGCAATTGTGCAAACTCACTATGGAGAAACCTTTTGCATTGCGTTAGTTGAGGGCATTACAATGCAGGTGTATCGCATTGGTTTTCAATCTTAGAAGAATCATGCTAGTGTCTGACAGATATACAGCACATTTTGAAACATTACACGTTATAAATGGTGCAAAATTTGTTTTCTTTTGATTTGATATAGGCTGCGTGGGTTTCCGGTGATATAACCAGCACACAAATTCTGTGCCTGCAGTGCTTGGAGGGTCTGCGTTACAATCCGGCGTTTCCGCATTTGGCAGCGTGTCTTTATTTTGTAAGTTATTCCCAGCATGGAAATATCTGGTTCAGTATTACGTGCTTGATGTGATCCAAGTGGAATAGGGTACTGCTAGGAATATTCCCATCTGGTGTGTATCACGAGTTTAATTTGATTCAATAGCCCGGCGACAACCACTACGACGTATTATAGAGTACTTAGGCAACTCCCTTTGTTGCCTAATGCCGAGCAGTGTCGTATTCGTGTTGCAGATCCGCTTGGTGGTGACACGACCGGGGGTACACTAGGCATCACCGATTCTGCCGCTATGGCTGTTTTAGTACCAAAAAACATTGATTAAGTCAATAGAAATAAAGTGTTGCAAAATTTGGATCTGAAAAGGTTTGCCAGCAAAAATCGGCGACCAGCACGAATTTGCAGAACCAATTTTTTGCTGTTGTAAACATTTCCTGACAGCGCACAACCTTCGCATCACAAATATGACGGCTAAATGCGCATTAAAAACACTCGTTCTAGGGTTTGCTCTATTATTAAAGTGAAACTGCAGTGTGCGTTTTCATTTTTTTCTGCCATCGGCAAGTTGTTTATTATTTTTTTTCCGCATTTTCCAGCTAGCTTTCTGTGCCAAATCGGACAACAAGGCGAGGTGTATCCTTTTACTGTCACTTTTGACGCTGAACCCTTAATAAACCAGTGACTTTGCAAGGTCATATTTTGGCTTTAAATCAGTTCTGGCTGGAGGTGGTGTGCCAGCACGAGCCTTCAGCCTTGCTTTGAAGCCGAAAGCCCATTGTTTAAATTAGACGTCCTTTAACCCACATCATATTCCTTGACCGCGTCAACTAACTAGATGCCAGCGATGTGCTGGACTGTCTACAGGACAAGTGCGATGCCAAAGCCCTGCGAATCAGTATCCCCTGGCGAATGTTGGAGTCTTTTAATGGAACCTCAAAAAGTGAGTCCCTCTTCCACATACCTAACACTTGTCTGATGCTTTCAAGCGTCAATTTTCGAAGTCAATGATTGAATGACCTCAGTTCCAATTTATTTTCCGTATTTTGAACTTTTGTCAAGACATCGGTCACTAACTTTCTGAGTGTTAACATCGGTCACTGCTCACTCATAAAGCCGACTTTTTTAAAAAAGTAACTGCTATTTTAGGCGCGTTAATGGAAGTCTGGTCGCCGCATTCCTTATCCTGGTTGCTGATGTGGAAGGGGAGGGGGTAGGGCGGTAGCTACAGTTAGTCCTCCTCGTTCCCCAAGAGTGGCCGTCTTACTGGCGCTTCAAAATATGAAACACTGCAGGAACCATTTGCTTCCGTGTTTTTAAAAACACTTAGAGCTACACTCATTACTCTGTGATTCGCGATTCGCTGGCTTTATGCCTAATCGAGCCTAGGTCGAGGCAGTTAATTTGCTATTATCCTCCACCGGACTCCTGTCTAGTAATTTTTCTACTAAATTTTCGCAAATCCCATGTGTCTATTTGTGTGTCCAGCATTAACCAACCACAAAAAAACACTTCCCCACCGCCGGCACCGATTCTCCCCCGTGTAACCGTACGCGCGTTCTTGTGTTATTTATTTCGCCTTGAGCGAATCTGGTTGCCCGGTGTTGTGACATCACACTTCAGCACGTCAGTAGAATCCCTCAGGCCTGTTGTTATGATCACGTGGAAGCTTTGGTTTCACCAGGCTACTTGTTAAGGTTAGGAATGTGGATGATTGGACTCCCTCGTTTACAGCCCTGACAGGTGGCAGATGGTTTTTGCGCGTTCCTCCTTGCTGACCCCTCGTGCCAGTGCCCTTCCCCCATTTTCGGCGTCCCTAAACTTCATTTCCTAAGCCATCTGACATAGCATTACTTTAAGGCACCAGTGTTCTGGTTGTGAAACATGCCTACCTGGTCCCACCAGTTAGCATGCATTTACAGTCATTTGTGTGTTACCAAGACACGGAAAAAGTGCCTGCATTAAAACAGCGTAGTCAGTTCAAGATTTCGTCCTTGTTTTCTTGTCGCCGAAAGACCGTGTTCACCAACCTTCATTCCTTTTCACCAGGTAATGTGTTCCACACCTCTCCTCGGAATGTTGTAGTGAACATTCCGAAAGTTCCATCCCCTCGCGTCGTAGTGACCTTCCTGTCTGCCGGCACATTTCCCCTGCTAATTGCTCTGTCACCCATTTCTTCCCCGTTCACAGCTGTCCGCCCTGTCCGTAGTCGCTTCTCACGCCTGCACCTCGCGATCCCAGGTTTACCCACGCGCCATAGTTGCTGCAGTGGGTTGATTCACTTCCCTAGACGCGAACCCTATTAACCACCACCACCCCCTTCCTCCCTGAATGCGTCTGCTTTTCGTGATGAATTTTAAGCCTTCCGCCAAAGCATGAAAATCTCTTTGAACTAGCACTTCCGCTGTAACCCCTACTCTCTGCTAAGTCTAACCTCGTTTGGCCTTAAACCATCGACGGGTGGCTTCCAGGTTAACGTGGTCTCGATTTTCTTGTGTGGTCTTGGTACTCCACACTTCGTTCATTTACCACACCTCTTGCCACTATTTCTTAAAAATAAACGAAAGTGATAGGTGAGCAATGCCCCCTCTTTCAGTGTCCTTATTTTCTTGTGGATTCGCATGCCTCCCTCGCGCAGCTGCCCAAACGCTTCTTAGCACTTGGTACTGCAAGGACTCTCGTGCAATGAGGAAGGGTCGTGGTGTAGTCACGTCATTATCTCACTCTTGTTGTTTCCTTTTTCACTTTTTTTATGTAAATCTATTGGCTAATTTCTGTAAGACTACCCAAGCAACTCGCCACCCTCTCTCAATCTCTCATCACTTTCAATCTAACCCTTGTTAATTGTGTCCTTGGCAATTTTGGCCCCAGTATTAACGCAAGGCGGAAGTGATTACGCAGTCGCCAGGTGTCCTAAGTAATCCGTTTGTAAGGCGAGCACACTTCTGCCACTTGATCTACCGCAGTGCGCCTCCTTCGCAAACCTAATTTGGCTCGACCCACACACCGCGTGCCAGGGCGCTTGTTTGCGCTCTGAATGGACCCTGTTCGCGTCCACACTGCGGCGGTTCCTCTGTCGGGGTGAGGCGGCAGTCAAGTCGCGGGTGCCGGTTTGTTGGCCTGCCACCCACAACGCGCCTCGATTCACGGTGTGGAGTAGCCTAGGTCTGCATCCGTAAAAGTGCATCAGTCCTGTTGCTTAACTGAATTGCATCTACAGGGTGTTCTGAAGCAAATTACTTATCTAAGGTCCTTAAACGAGGTCTATGAGGTGTCGTCACAGGTTTGATTTGACTTGTGTGATGTCATGTCAGTGTAGAACGAATGTCCACTCACGCGATGTTTGTTTAAAATAGAGCAAATATTCACTCCAATAACCTCCGTTGAAGTGGATATAAATTTGTTATTGTGACGCTCTCGAAACCATAAAAGGCGACTGATGCTTTCTCAGGACACGCAACCACAGCGTCATTGCTATTTCTACTAGGGCATACGCATCAAGACAACAAAACTACTGTCGTTTTTTTATGATGGGCGTGGGCGGGTAATCGTGCGCCCCCGCTTTCGTGGGATAAGCCGTTTGCGTGAGGTTATTGACGGTTCAGGCTCTGATTTAATTTGCGGTCATTCTCTTCGTTCTTCCACTCCCCTCAGGCTTTTTTGAGCTGGCCAACACCTCGAAAGACCACCCACGCTCGCCTTCACCCCCTCCTCCTCCTCCCTACCTCCCTAAATGCAACGGACAATCTGAGGCCGCGAGCGACGCGGACGAGAGTCCCTGTCTCAACGGTGGCGAGTGCAACGGCGTGCTGAAGAAGGACGAGGTGACGAGTTGTCAGGACGAATACCTTGCGTCCCCTGCGTGGTACCACCCGTACGATTGCCTCACTCCGGAAAACTACGAAACCCTCGCCTTGTTCTGCCTGGAAATGGGACAGTAAGACTTCGTTCCTTATCATGCTCCACTCGCTGGCGGTGGCATTGACTCAAAACACGCAGTGTTCAAATACCTTAAAAACCCTGCGCTGGCTCTGCTCTTGTGTTTGAGGCAACACCAGATGTCAGCAGAACGTGATTGTTTGCATCGCTATGTAACTTTTTTTTATCAGGCTCGCGTTGACGTCAGAATGTTTTAACATCTTCTCTTAAGCCACTAACTTACTGGTTGGGTGCCAACAAGCCTAAAAGTACTGTTTGTACCCTTCTTGCGTTCTTTCTCAAAACCCCGTTTAAAAAGTGGCCCAGTATCTGCATTTTCTGCCACCCAATTCAGTCACGGGAATCGTTGATTCCGCAGCTACGCACTCCCCACACGGAAATGCCCCCCCACCCCACCACCAGAGTCCAGGATCGTCGTTTTCGCGAATTTTCCGCACATTTGATGAGCGTTGCAATTTGACTCCGGTCGTTCAAGCGGGTTTTCAGTGCAGCATAGGGAGGTCGCGCCCCCCTTGACGCTCTTCCCGAGCGAATGCATCCATCGCCAGCCATCCAAGCACTTCAGGATAACTGAAGCCACTAGCCAAGGCGATACGCCTGCTCTATTCGCGTCTTGTCCTAGCCCCACTGAAGTGCCTGGCCGTGCTTGCTGTGTGATGATTCCTTGTTTGCATTAATTATGCCAATGCGTCCCTTTGATGGCGCCACACCACGCCGTTGCACGGTGTGCCAGCTAACTCGGTGCGGTCCACGCGGTGTTTTTTGTGTGGCGCCAAATTGGCTCTTGTGACCCCTGCTAATTGCCTTGCCACCGCAACTCCAGTGCTGCCGAGTGTTTGTCAAACCCCCAACATGAACCGTAATTAGCGAAAACATCAACACCGGTGTACTGTACCGATGTGTTAAAAGTACTGCACGGTAAAAAGTACTTTTCCACTGCCAAAGTCCACAATCACCGGCGTTGCACAGCGGTTTATCCCGAAGGCAATGTCTGAGTAGTTAGGACCGATTTCCAAACGCGGAAACTAGTTGAGCTTAAGTCATCACAGTTTTGTCTGCCAATTTGCCCAAGAAAGTCGATTTCGGAGTCTTCGGGGTATTCGTGAGGAAACTATAGGTAGAGGTTTGGCTCGCTGGATTTTTGCAGCTTGTCGTTTTCGTTTTAGGCTCGATTTTCGTGACATTGTGGCATAATCTAATATTTTTTCGGTGAAATGTGTAAATTCGGCATATCATCTGCAAATATCTAGGTTGTTTGGGTTAGCAAAAAAGCCTCCTCGATATCTAGTGTCATGCCTAGTTTTTTTCCATGGCAATTTACTTGCTTTGTTTTCGTGTTTTGACTTCAAACTAGGCAAGGCATCATGTGCTGCACTAGCGCAACGTGGCCTAGTCGCCACGTTGCTTAACTCTTCCTTCAGCCAATCACGTGTTTTTTTCCGTTTCTATCCAACTACTCCCTCTCTCTGTCTAGACGAGAACTGGGCCTGGCTTTCGCTGTGAAGGCCCACCAGGAATCGCGAAGCAGGGAATCCCCAGATCTGATCGAAAATTGTACCACCACCACCTCGTCCTCCTCATCACCATCACCCTCCCAGCTGCCGTGCCTCAGTTTGCGTCTCCTACGCAACCTCGACCCTTCTCTGCTCCCTGACTTTCCCTCAGAAGACGACGGTCAGTTTTCGATGGAGCCGTTTTCACCCAGGAACTGCCCGCCTTTCTAACTCACCTGGCGTCCCTTTGTAGACAGCGATCCCACCGGAGACTCCAGTCTGAGTAGCAATGACATTGGTGCACCCTTCGATGTCAGTTTCATGGGCTGCAACAACGACGACGAAGAAGAAGGCGAAGAGGCTGCAGCATCAGCGCCAGACTGGGAGAATGGTCACACACCCCTCCACGAGCCCTCTCCTTCTACAACACCCACGTGCGAGTCCCCGTGTCCAGGGGTTCGCATGCGCGTATACGGATCGATACTCAAGACCCCCACCTCACCTGACTGTGAAAGATTGTACTCGGAAAAGGTCAGCCCCAATGGTAGGTCGATCACTCGTGGTTGAGCGTCTGTGAACAGACTGTGGACAAATTCTACCCCCTCCCCCTTTTTTACAGGTGCTATCAACTCGACGCGGGTGGAGAAGCACGTCCGGTTTTCCCTGTCCGCCTCCCACCCTCCTCCCGACCTCGAAGCCGAGTACGGCGGCCGCAGCAACAGCCGTCGCATCCAGGACATGGCGCGGCGCCGCGGCAACTACGCCGATCATTCATACGACAGCCTCAACGCCGCCGGCGCGATGGATCGTTTCGTGGGGGTGTTCTGGCCCAACCTGCGCCGACGCTCCCTGGCCAAGAGGCTGCTCGACTTGGCCACCTTCATGGTCTTCTTGTCCGTCATCCTGGCCTTCTCTCTGCTCTTCCTGTCGCTAGTCATCTGCATACCTTTGGCGTGGTTGACCTCCGCGGACTCGGCTGCCGGCGCTTGCACTGTCACCGACATGTGTGTGTGGCTGCTGAACGGATTTGGCTTGAGAACTCTGATGGCTGTGTAGCCGAGCGTCCCGGTGTGTGTGCTTGCGTGTGTACGTGGTTGTGTTGAATACTCGCTAGGGCCCTCCCACTCCTCCTTACCCCTGCTGCGCCACCCACGTGTGTCCCGGTACCCCCTACACTTCAACATGCCTTTAATGTGTTGTATCAACGCATGTTTAAGCATTCCTACGTGTGGTCGCTTCTGGGTGGTGGTGCGTCTGCTGGGCTAAAACTCTCTGCTAGCGGTTGGTCACTCGCTCTCCGTTCGTCGTCTCAGTCGTGGCACGTCATTGGATGAAAGCTGAGTCGAAAATGGCGACAAACTGGGAGGGAGCAATTGGTGGTGGTTTTTCTCCGCGTCGTTCCCGTCACACCTTAGAATGTCACCATTCACAGTTGTGGTCATTAGTTGGTGTGGAAAAAGTTGACAGAATCAGGTTGCTATCACGATTCCCACCTTACCTCTGTAACAGATTAACAGCGATCGCGCCTGAGTGAACCCTGACGGTGACAATGACTCATCGCCTTTTCATTGGTTGCTGCTACCAGATGCCTGTCATCCGTTCACTCATCCGCACCCTTAAACACGTGGCTGGCGTGACGCTGGTAAACGGTCGTGTCCTCTGCCGCCTCTCTTTACTCCATTCTCGGGTTTTTACGGGCTGTTGACTAGAGGGTTGGAGGGTAGTGCTAGACACTGGCCACTACATTTGGTGACCCCGACGTGATCCCACCGAGATGAAGCTACTTTATTTTTGATGCCGTTGATTTGTGATCTCCGTCGAATTGCTGTAAACCTCTGTTCGGAAAACAGCATTTCAGTCAACTTTCTCCCGTACTTTCCCAAATTCCGAGTTCGGTCATCAAGTTTTCCATGCAGCTGTTTGTGCTCTAGCGTTGCTCCTGCCAGATTAAACACACTCCTGATCTGTTTTGGCGCAAACAATCGGCCACATGTTTGTAAACAAGTGGCATTCGAGGGGGGAGGTGCATTCAGGGCGATTGTTGACGCGTCGCCAACGCGTCCATTTGAGAAAGGGAAGTCTTCAAGAGGCCCTGATCCGGACTGTCAGTTCACGTGACGATTAGGGAGACCGTGGTGGCTCGGTTAGCACTACCTTACAGCCTCCTAGCTAACAGCCCGAGAAGCGGCTACAGCTGACACGACTGTTTAGCAGCGTCACACCAGTTTGGTGTGTAGATGAGTTAGCGGATGACATGCGTCTGATAACAGAGTAACCAATGAAAAAGAGGATGAGTCATTGTCACCGTCAGGTCAGCAAACAGGGTTCACTCAGGCGCGATCGCTGCTAACCCACGTGTGTGTGTATGTGTGAACATCAACGAATGCTGCACTACGCAATTGTAGGAGTCCAACAGCTCACACTACGCAGTTTTTCTGAGACGTCTGAGGGCTCACGAGAAGGAGGCAAAACTGCTTATTGCTTATTTTAACTGTTTTGTAGGAATTCGTTGATCCACACAGAGGAAAATTAAGAAATGGGTGTAAGGGGTTGGATTACCAAGGGCATCATGTGAGCGTTGTCAAGATGCGATCAGTTGCTATAAGGCTGTTTCATAGACACAGGATTTAAGTAATGCGTGTGCCGATTGATTGCACTCATTTTCTGGTAAAAGTAGGCGGTCGACTAGTCTTTCAGTGTAAATTTTGGTAACGGGACAAAGGCATTGTTGTTGGTAGGCGCTAAACGAAGGGAAATGCAAATGATTGGCCGTATCGATCAAAGGGGGATCACACGTTCTGATTCACCAAGCGCCTACTTACCTGTTTTGTTCCACGGTTAGCACGTGGTGGCATGGTCATGTAGTAGATGCTGTGAGATTTTATGCTTATCGAGGTGTCTGTTTTGATACAAATATGCCTAGCCACGTGAATAGCCATAATTTTGGTTGACGTCGCTTACCATCCCTCCGAAATTATTAGTTTTTTTCGAATGAAATAATAATACTACTTAAGTTTTAAAGTAACAAGTATTTGCAAACATGACCCCGGCGATAGTTTGACTAAAACGTAATTGTGCTCGATTCAAGTCAACAATGTCCTTATTCCTTCCGCAGGCTTCCATTTTCACTATCTAATGTTGTTTATTGGTCGGGCAATAAAGTATCATCATTATTTAAATGTTTTGCTTGGAAGTTTTAATAAATCGAGGACTAATTGGTTGCTAACGGCGACCAGCAACTTGGAATGCCGGCTCGATTGTCCCCTGTCGAGTCCTTGCGGGCTGGGCCGCGACCCTGCAAACCCGACGTCACCCACCGACACACTGTCAAGCGACTTCCGTCCTGCTGCAAATAGTAGTGTTACAGAGTTTATCTAAGTAATTGGAACACGAAACGTTGTAAGACCTCGCCAAATGTCCACGAGGAAGCGTACCTTGCTTTGGCAGTTTTTTCATCGAACCTGGAAGCAAGTGGTCGCTTGGCAGAACTCCTGCTACATCCCAAGTAACCGCCAAGTCACCAAACAAGGCACAAGTGGTTTTGCAATTCTCAAGCCGCCTTTGTAACGCAATTCCCTTTCAAATGATACCCGCTTTGACCGAAGGTTCCTAGTTAATGAGATACCGAGAAAGATATATTGCAAGCCAGTAAAATTTTATAATCGGTTTTATAGCAATTTTTTGTGCTCGGCGGAGCAAATGTCCACAGTGCTTTGCAAGTCCCGGCAATTAACACCCTGCCTTTGGAGTAGACAAGATTTCAGAAGTAAGTAGGCAAATTTCAGAAAAATTCTCATGTGATTTGGGTGCAATGAATTAACTTTAACATTCCTGTGCAAACGACGGATGGTCTGATTCGAAGCCTTGTAGCTATGTAACATTGGAGCCATTTCAAAACATGGGCAGAGTGGAAATCATTGGAAAAGAAAATTACCAATGATTTGAGTGCAATGAATTAGCTTTAACATTCCTGTGCCTACGACGGATGGTCTGATTCAAAGCTCTGTAGGTATGTGACGCCAGAGCCATTTCAGAGCGAGGGCAGAGTGGAAATCATTTTTAAAACAATAATCACCACGATTAAGGGTTAAATTCGCCCGGTTTTTGGCCACTAAATTTGTCTGAAGAACAGCTGCTCTGTTATGAGGTGTATGTATACTTGGGTGTCTAGTATTTCCAAGTGATTAGGCGTTCTAATACGCCATTATAGCTTGTCCACACGTGTAGACCCATCAAAGCTACAGTGGTCTGTAGCGGATTAGCAGCGGTCGCGCCTGAGTGAACTCTTTTTTCTGACCAGACGATGACAATGACTCATCCCCTTTTCATTGGTTACTGTTACCAGACGCCTGTCATTCGTTCACTCATTCACACGTTAAGACGCACACTTGGCTGGCGTGACACCAATAAACGGTCGTGTACGCTGTCGCCTCTCTTCTCTCCATTCTCGGGTTGTTAACTAGAGGGTTGTAGGGTAGTGCTAAACCACAAGCTGCTACAGGTCCACCGTATTGTCTGGTCGGTCAAGCCCTCAATTAGGAGTTGCCCTGGGTGGTCACGTTTGGCGGGTTTCCTGTAGATCTCAGATTTAACTTGGATTCACACAGCGACTTTCAGGGTTCAGTTTGGTTAAAATTCCTGGATCTACAGCCTGAATATCAGCTCTCCCTGAAATACACGCTAATTCGACTTGAAATCTTCCTTCCGAGAAGCCATCTAACTCATCACGAATCGGGATTTTGTCATTGTTTACACAATTCCCCTAACCACGCCACTCAAGTGAGTCGGCGACCGGTGAGTGGTCAACGACGTCAACCAAATTATATATGAATTTCGGCCCACACTATAAATAACTTGTCACGAACAAATACCGTAATCGCCAAAACTGCGTGTCAATGCGCGGTTCTTTTGTCAAAGACGCCAGGTTATTCCAGCTCTTCCACCGAGGTTTACATGCATCAAAGTGTTTGCTAGATTCATTGAGTGAGGATTTGTATTTGTTGAGGGAATCCGAGTTTCAGAGGGATTCATGCAACGCCTTCGAGGGAGAATGCCAGTAATCTCGTGCTTGATGAGCCATCTTCCAAACGGATTGTGGTCGAATGGGTCTAGAAATATCTGCAAAATTAAACGACGTCGGATGGTTTCGTATGAGACCAACGGAGTGTCCATAATTCCCACTGCTGAACTCCCGAAAAGGCACGTTTTAGCATCGATAATCCCGGAAACTAATTTACTGCTAATGGAGACTCCTTTGGGACCTGCAGATTAAAAAATCTATCTACGTACACTTGGACTGTTTGGTTAGTGCCTCACTTACCAAAACCACGACTGGATGGTTGTTTTTGGCTTCGATCAAATGCCCTTGACGGGGAATGTGGGATAAGAATGTAGCAATCTTGGAAGGTTGTGTACAATGGCAACGTCCTGGTTTTTGGACAGTTGTGGAATTCCTTTATTCCCCAAATGTAGTCGATGAAGTATGAGACAAACAGGTGACTTCAGAGTTTGTTGAAACCTAGTTTCCACAGTCGCTGGTACGTTCGCCGTAGATCCGTGCCATTTGTGTTGTTGATGTCGAGGAATACAGGTGAAAGTGATGTGGAACAGTGGTGGTACTCGAAGTGAAGCTACCTTAATCGATTAAGCCTGTCGATGCATCGATAAGAGGTCACACCGGAATGGAGAATTTCTGGGTCAGAGGTATTTCGAAAAATATCTACAGAAACAGCGGTAGCGGGAAATGATCGAAAATGGGGCTGACACTGCTGCCCCTAATAACACGAGAGAATTCGACGTCGCTTAATCCATGGACGCATTTTGTTTCAGTGGAAACCATGGTACCCAGATCGACCATAAAATGCCTGTTAAATTTGCATTGATGGCTGCGCTTGATGGTGTGGTCGCGTGAGGATGTCTTTTTCACATCCTGGAACCTTCTTTCTCGTACTTCTCAAATACGAAACAAATTCTATCAATTGACATCACCAAATATCGAATGAAGAGGTCAGTTTTCAACCCCGTAGGTGCTGACTCTTCATATGAGTTTGGCTGCGTTGTTTGTAGATTCCACTCAATCTTGCGTGGTACCAAAATAGAGTATGTTGTGACTCGCGTTGATCCACACTCGTTGACCCGGCCACTCCAGCCTCCGACACAGGGTTCCCCTTTTCGCAGCATGTCGCCAGCCACGCGGATTCCCAACTCCCCCCTCATCCACACGGATATTTATCTTGGATTACCCTCATACCTAGGTCTTGATGTTAGCGCAAGTATGACTTACACATCTGAGGTATAAATGCACACGCGCAAACCCCACACAAGGGCACAACGA